ATGGGAGATGGTAGTGAGGTCAGAAGACATGTAATAATGGGAGATGGTAGTGAGGTCAGATGACATGTAATAATGGGAGATGGTAGTGAGGTCAGATGACATGTAATAATGGGAGATGGTAGTGAGGTCAGATGACCTGTAATAATGGGAGATGGTAGTGAGGTCAGATGACATGTAATAAGGGGAGATGGTAGTGATAATGGGAGATGGTAGTGAGGTCAGATGACATGTAATAATGGGAGATGGTAGTGATAATGGGAGATGGTAGTGAGGTCAGATGACATGTAATAATGGGAGATGGTAGTGAGGTCAGATGGCATGTAATAATGGGAGATGGTAGTGAGGTCAGATGACATGTAATAATGGGAGATGGTAGTGAGGTCAGATGACATGTAATAATGGGAGATGGTAGTGAGGTCAGATGACATGTAATAATGTGTGATGGTAGTGAGGGCAGATGACGTGTAAGAATGGGAGATGGTAGTGAGGTCAGATGACCTGTAATAATGGGAGATGGTAGTGAGGTCAGATGACATGTAATAATGGGAGATGGTAGTGAGGTCAGATGACATGTAATAATGGGAGATGGTAGTGAGGTCAGATGACATGTAATAATGGGAGATGGTAGTGAGGTCAGATGACGTGCAATAATGGGAGATGGTAGTGAGGTAAGATGACATGTAATAATGGGAGATGGTAGTGAGGTAAGATGACATGTAATAATGGGAGATGGTAGTGAGGTAAGATGACATGTAATAATGGGAGATGGTAGTGAGGTCAGATGACGTGCAATAATGGGAGATGGTAGTGAGGTCAGATGACCTGTAAGAATGGGAGATGGTAGTTAGGTCAGATGACATATAATAATGGGAGATGGTAGTGAGGTCAGATGACATGTAATAATGGGAGATGGTAGTGAGCGTAATAATGGGAGATGGTAGTGAGGTCAGATGACCTGTAATAACAATCGAAGATGGTAGTGAGATGAGATGGCATATAATAAGAGAAAGTGGTCAGATCAGATGAGTTGGACTAATAGGATCTCGTGAGGAGGAAGCAGAGGAAGGAACAGGTAGAGGATGAGCTAGTGGTATGCTGGTTAATAGGATAATGATGGGGAATGTAATTAGGTCTGATGAGTTGGCATACAGTTAGAATAAAAGGTGATGCCAGATGTGGTAGCTAAATGTGTCACAGAATTATAGTTTACATATGAATTATGTGCCTTGGTACAATTGGTGAAGAATAATAGATGAAATAATGTTATGTAAAGGGTAGCATCAACTAGGTAAAATACTATATGTGCACTATGAACATTTTTAATTAATGTACCAATCCAGACACACTAGCCACTAAATGTTTACTAAAATGACTTTAATTAATGTTTCCTGAAATTGCCTAGAATTGAGACATGGGGCTTTAGTTAGCCTAGGCCAATATTTTGCATCAGATGGTTCAGGGGATGCCAAAGGGCTTCTGAAAATTGCCGTAAGGAAACAATGCTGGACTGCATGGGAGATGACTTCGTATGACCCAATTAGGGCAAATCAGTTTGGGAGTTTGCGAGGATGTCTTAAACTATGGGGTGCTCATTGTTGTAATACATATGGTCTTTCTTAATACAGCTAGGACAACCTTTGCCAATCCAACAGCTCTGGACTTCAAATCCCATCATGCTCTGCTAGATGTTTCATAACAGTAGGTCGTCAGTGAAACTATTTCCAAACATGACTTTCAATGGTTCTTTTGTTCTAATTTCTCTTTCCTTTTCCATGGCATAATTTCCCTCAATCTCTCTCTCTTTCTCTCTCTTTCTCTCTCGTTCCCTCTCACATTCTGTCTCTCTCTCACTCTGTCGCTGTATTTATTTTGCTCTGCTTCTGCAGGAGGGGCAGCGTCACGCTAATGAGTGTTTTAGCTATTCATTTGTTTTACTTGCAGCCCGTAATGAATTAAAAGGCGGGGGGACTTCGGAGACCGATTTTTAATACAAACTCCCCTCCTGGTGCCGACCCCGACCGTCAGCGCTGTGCCCGTTACTACGGCAACCACGGGCATTTTCATGCAAATTGGCTGCTCTATGGATGAGATGGTGCCGGCGCATCCTACAACTAATCATGATAAAATTAGTTTCACTATATTTAAATGACTCTACCTAATGCATTATATCCATATGCATGAAATTGCTTCGGCTAATGCTCTGCATAAAATAGCAAAGACGTTGCAAATTACCATATTGCCGGCCCTAAAACAGGCTACCATAAAGAAGTCCCCCCTCCCCACTGGATTTTTATTAAATGACTCACCCTCAAGGCATTTATTAGAAGCACTATGATGGGAGAAGGTTTATGTAACCCATGGCCCTTCATGTAAGTCGGTATATGAAGAATCTGTTATGCTGTGCATGTGACAATGAAGGTGTTAACCCTGTTCGTGTCCCCAATAATTATGCCACGTTAACCCACTCATGCCCAGAAGTCAGTCTGTATCATACACAGTGCAAGCTGTATGTTAATATAGTCCTGATCATGGCCAATAGAATGTTCAGTGTTTGGAGACCGTATGTGTTGAGCAGGTAGGATGGTGAGAAAAACTGTGAAGATTATACTCTGCAACACCCTCAATCATGTAGATTGTTAGCTCATTTGTGCAGGACGCTCCTTACCTCTTGTTTCTATTAACCTTAATTTGTTTGCTGTTTATATATCCCTATAATAACGCTCTGTGGGATATGTCATTGCAATATACATCTAAATATATATTAAATTATATCAATAATAATAACATCACGCACATCACCAACACTAACTGGAGTTGTCCTTTTGCATCCTCGGTGGATTTTAGACATGAATAATTTTCCTAGATGATGCGTAATTAACCAATTAACATAGCTGTATGTAATGTGTCACTATGTATGCTCTGAGTAGGATTAATAGGCGGTAGTGTAACAAGATTTAAATGCCATAGCAGTGTATTTTGTTCACCTCCCTGGCACACAAGTGGTTAATAAACTGTGCCAATAAATTTTCTACACTACAGATTGTGAGCGCACTCTGTGGTATGTTTTCGGCACAGGGTATACTGCTGCCTTTAATGTGTGTACCCCTCAGCACGAAGGACACACTAACATCAGCACTCCAGGCTCACTTTCATCTGGGGCCAGATCTGTAAATGTGATGGCAAATACAAGGTGAAATTATGCACTGGTTCACTCACTAAACAGGAAAATGGGCTGAAATGAAAAAGGAACTGCCACATGTAAGGCCAAAACTGCTCCACTGGAAATAAACTTCTGAAATTCAACAACATTCTGGGTTATGGTCTAGATTAATCAAATCAGTTTTCATTTCACTGCACCTCAGTGTTTATCCAAATTGTAGTGATTCGAAAATTAAAGGACCACTATAGTGCCAGGAAAACATACTCGTTTTCCTGGCACTATAGTGCCCTGAGGGTGCCCCCACCCTCAGGAACCCCCTCCCGCCGGGCTCTGGGTTGAGGAAGGGGATAAACACTCACCTTTCTTCAGCGCCGGGTGTGGAGCTCTCCGCCTCCGATCCTCCTCTTCGGCTGAATGTGCATGCACAGCAGGAGCTGCGCGCGCATTCAGCCAGTCTCATAGGAAAGCATTTATAATGCTTTCCTATGGACGCTGGCGTCTTCTCACTGTGATTTTCACAGTGAGAAGCACGCAAACGCCTCTAGCGGCTGTCAATGAGACAGCCACTAGAGGCTGGATTAACCTATTTATAAACATAGCAGTTTCTCTGAAACTGCTATGTTTATTACAAAATGGGTTAACCCTAGCTGGACCAGGAACCCAGACCACTTCATTAAGCTGAAGTGGTCTGGGTGCCTAGAGTGGTCCCTTAAATTATGAAATTTAGGCTAATATAGCAAAGATGAGCTGGATTTAGTTTTTTTTAGCCAAATCAGATTTGTGTGCATAAATCTTCCAATTTAATGTTTAGTTAATAAAACACATTCAGAGTAGAAGAGATGAGATTCAAATTTTTTTTACTACCTTGGTAATTAAGCAGTATACGTATACCAAGTAAATAATCTCTAGATTCTCCCTTAGAGAGAGACTATGGACTGAATTAGATCAGATAAAATGACTCACATCCTACATCCCATGTTTCAGTTCAGATTACCAACTATGGGGTAGGAAAGCTTGCCAAGCCATTGGCTCTCATCCTCCACAGCAGACGGGTCCCAACCTACTAGCAGGCCTTGGGCAGTCTGTAGTTCAGTTATCAGTAATTGTCACCCTGGAGCATCTTACCTTGAGTGGTTTTATAGAAGGAGACCTCATAGGGGTCAGAGACACGTTAACTTGTGCTTGATGCCTGAGGGCTGTTTGTGTATGTGAATGGGGCACCTGGGTACCGCAGGAGATGTACACCTCAATCGATCCACAGAGAAATAGAAGGGGTGTTAAATGGCTTTTAAATACGCCTTTACATGGGGTGTTAAATGGCTGTGAAATATTCCTTGTGTGTTATTTAGTGGGAAATCTAAATCTGCAGAAGATCAACAGCTACAATACATAATGACATAAGAAATCTGTATAACTGAAGACAAATTGAGATTTAAATGTCATACCAGAAGTAGAATAACATGCTCTGTGGAACTCTCATAAATAGTCTGGATTCCATTTTTGTGTAGATGAACAGAAAAAAAATATTAGAAAGATTTATGAATCAATGTAGCATTTTGTAATTCTGTTCTGCTGTAAAGAGAGGTCCGCCAATTTAGCACAATGT